AACCTTACGGCGTGCTGCCAGCAGAAACGGAGAGAAAGGCTGGCCATTTCTTCTGACTTCAGAGATGCCCCGTGTGGACACCCTGCCTGCCTTCAGGGTGCCTTCAATTCCAGTGGACAGTGACTCCATGTGACAGAGTAGCCCTGCCCCATCGAGGTTCCCAGTGTCATAATTGGAAGCAGTACTTTCTCCCAGACAGCCTTTAACCCTCACTATTCCACCTCAGAGCCATCTCCACCAGGTTCCTGGATGGTACCTCCTCATGAGAGACTGCTTATCTCTTGTCCAAGGAGCAACGCACCACCTGTTTAGCTAGTAGCAGGGCGCTTAACCCTTCCACCAAAGCCCTGTGTCTTTTAGAATACGTGGCCTTGTGGCAAGAAGCTGCGCTGCAATCTCAAAGGCACGAGGTTCGAGGCCACCAGCTGCTTTGCTGGAGGAGGATGGGCAGTCTCCTCCCGTGCGATTAACTGCCTCTGAAAACCCGCCAGAGAGTCAGCTACGGGTCAGTTCTGACTCTACGGTACCCAGCAACACGCACACAAGGAAGAAGAAAAAGAGGCAAAAAGGGGAGCCCTGGTGACTTAATGGTAAGGAGTCATATTGCCATTGCAAAGGAACGCAGTTCAAGGCCACCAGCTGCTCCATGGGAGACAATCGATGGGCAGTCTCCTCACGTACAAGTAACTGCCTCTAACAACCAGCCAGTGGGTCAGCGGTGGGTAGGTTTTGACTCCATGATACACAACAACAACAATGGGGGGGGGACCTATTACCTTTCTAGAGTGCATAGTTTCTTTCCGTATTCCATCTCTGGATTTTCCAGACAGACCCCTCGCTCTTGTAGCTGTGCTCCCCTGCCCTTTGCCCAAGCTGTGACCTTGGCCTTTCAGAGGCCAACAGGGTCCCTGTCCTTCCTCAAATGTGTCCACAAGCACAGGCTGACATAGAGCCAGCCAGTCACTGTCAGGTTCATTCAGACTCGTGGAGACCCTGGAGTTGTCACAGCAGAACTTCTCCATAAGGAACAAATCAAGCCTTTCTCCCAGACGCTACTGGTGGGACTCGAACCATTGACCTTTTGCTTAGCAGTGTTAACAATTGGCACCACTCACGGACTCCTGGGATGGACCAGCATACACTAAGATTCAAGCACCAGTCTTCACTGACCCACTGGGCTGGTGGTGCAAAGTTTCAGGCAGGCCTTCCTTCACCCTGTTTCCACTGTGCCTGAGGACGGACTGATGCTCTGGAAGTCTCGACCAACAGCGCTGCTCTCCACCCAGCCACAAACCCATAGGTGAAATTCCAGCTCTGAGACCAGACTCATTGGCAAAGTTGGATCTGTTTATCCTGGTCTTTAGTTGGTGGTAGAGTCTGCAGCTCCCTGGTTTAAACCCACCAGCGGCTCCTCGGGAGAAAAATGAGCAACCTCCTGAATAAAATGCTATAGTCTAAACCCCTGCTCCAGGGTCAGCTCCATATGGGTCTACTTCAACTTGACAGTAGTGAACTTTATTGGGTTTTTTGTTTGTGTATTTGTTTGTTTTTTACACCGGGAGTTCTGGTGGCATATCTGTAGCGAGTTGCACTGTTATTGTTTTTGTTGTTGTTGTTGTTGTATACCATCGAGTCAGAACCATAGTTGACCCTCAGGTGGGTTTTTAGAGACAGTTAACCACATGGGAGGAGACTGCCCATCCTTCTTCCACAAGAGCAGCTGGTGGAAACAAACCACATGCTTATGGGATTGCAGCGCAGCTTCTTGCCTCTAGGCCACTGTTGTTGTTGTTGTTAGGTGCTGTCAAGTCACCTGCATCCCACAGCGACCCCTATGTACAGCTGCTCTGAAGCCTGCTGTGACCTCAGCCAGTCTCACTGATTCTGACACACCAACCCCAATTGCCCTAGTTACTGTATCCGAGGTCTTCCTCTCCTGTGCTGACTGACCCTCCACCCTTCTGAGAGCAGGATCAATCCCTCCTGGCCTCGTGCCCAAAGTACATGACACAGAGCTTCAAAATCCTAGCCCCCAAGGAGAAATCTGATTTCACCCAAAATCTACACCTGTCTTACCACTCAAATCCAGCTCTGAGGGGGAAAGATCAGCAGTTTCCTCCTGGGTGGTTTACTCTCTTGAAAACTCTGCAGAAGCTCAGCTGTGTTTGAATTCTGACTCCATGACAACGAGTCAAGTTTTATTTCCTCCAGTTTGTGTGAATGTTCATATATTTTACAACAAAAATATTAACGTATTCTATTATGAGATGCAGAGAACTCTGGTAGTCAATGGTAAGGACTTGCTCTGCCAACCCCAAGGCACAGGGTTTAAATCTACCAGCCCCTCCATGGGAGAAAGATGGATCATCTCCTCTACGTATGATTTACAGCCTCTGAAAACCTGCCGGAGGGTCAAGCATGAATCAGCTCCGACTTGACAGCATAACAACATTAGGTGGTGCAGCCCCAGTTCCAACAAGATGGTGCAAATGAAAGAAATCTGAATTTCAAACCCATGAAAGCTTTAAGTGAAGGCAAAGCCTTCAAAAGAAGCCTGGTGTCATCGTGGTTAAAAGCTCAGCAGTTCAAACCCACCCACCACTCTGTGGGAAGAAGATGAGACAGTCTAGGGGGTAGTTCTACTCTGTCCTGTGGAGTCACAGGGAATCAAAATCAAAGAGATGGCAGCGGGTTCAGGGGGTCTGCTCCCCACATATCCCATGGAGTCTGCTCAGGTGAAGTTCAGTGGCCAAGGCCATGTGAGCTTTGCTTTCAGCTCCTGGTAGAGCAACAGGCTGCGGAGGGCTGGTGTACTGGCCTGGCACTAATAGAATAGGCTGTGCTGGAGAAGGGCTTCAGAGATGGGGAAGTCTCACTCCACCCGGGGAACAGAGAGACCAGAAGTGGTTTCCTGGTTGTGGTTGGGCACTGTCAGAGCAGGCACCACGCCCCTCCAAGGGCCTCCAAACATGCCATGTAGGGGCGCTAGGGGAAGGCCAGGCCCAGGTGACAGGAGGAGACAGGGTGGAAAGCTTACATACAGAGCATCAGGTAGCCAGCCAGCTGCTGAGTCCTGCTGACTGCACCCTGTCTGTAAACAGGGTGCCTACCCAGGTCCACCTTTGTAGTATCTGTCTTTCCAGTCCGGGAAGCCTTTTCCTTTGGGGTGGTGGTAGGACTCCGGCTGGCCAGCTGGGAGCACAACCAGAGACCAGTGGTGGGACCTGTGGGCTTCAGCCTGAGTCTGACAATGTCATTCCTGTTCTAGTTACTCCGCACAAATAAACCCATTTTGTAGACCAGGAAAAGAGAGGCTGGAGATTGTCTTTTGCAGCTGGACCAGATGTGTCAGCAGGAGGCAGGAGTGGCCCTGGCTGGATGGGGGTGAGGGGCATATAAATGATATCCTTCTGGTGGGAGGGTGCAGGGATTGGTGAGAAGGGGATGCAAAATTGGCCCCACGTCTGGGGAGTCCACAGGCCCAAGTACCGGAGCCTCCGCCTGGGGAGCAGTAGGGAAAGGGGCGGTGGGAACCGTGGCGCAAAGGGCGGGGCAGCACGTGGGCTCCAGGGACCCTGGGGTAGGTTCCTGGGTGGGAGACGAGGACATCGCCTGGTGGTGGGGAGCGTCGCGGACCGTAAGGGGG